TTTTATTTTATTTTTTTATTTTTTTGAGTTGGAGTCTCACTCTGTCACCCAGACTGGAGTGCAGTGGCTGCTCCCGGCCACTGCAGCCTCGACCTGCTGGGCTCTAGTGATCCTTCTGCCTCAGCCTTCCAAGTAGCCGGAATTACAGGCATGCGCTACCATGCCCAGCTGATTTTTGATTTATTGTAGAGATGAGGTCTCGCTGCCCAGGTGGGTCTCGAACCCGCGGGCTCAGGCAATCCACTCACCTCAGCCTCCCAAAGGCACGGGATTACAGGCTGAGCCCCCGAGCCTGGCTAATTTTTTTATTTTTTGTAGAGACAGAGTCTTGCTATATTCCCAGGTTGGTACTGAACTCCTGGCCTCAAGTGATCCTCCCTCCTCGGCCTCCCAAGGTGCCAGGATTACAGGCATGAGCCACCAAGCCCAAATTCTCAGTTTTGTGAGCCGAATGGAGTCCAAGTTTTGTCCGGAGGAAGGGAGAAGAAATGACCTCCCTAGGTCTTCTTTAGCTCAGGGCAGAAGGCACCATGGTATGCTGAAAAAGAGCAGCAAACTGAGGGTCACAGGCCCTGGGTTCCAGGCCTGAATCACCGCTTTGGGCCTCAGATTTCTCTGTACACTGAGAGGTTTAGACCAGATAATCCTTCCTGGTCTTATATGATCTCTAACTCTACAATTCAGGAAATGATGTAGTCCCAGCCCTTGTCCCCATAACTCAGGTAAAAAGACGCTTTGGCTTTTGCCTTGTTTTGGGGAGGGTGGGAGTAGCCAGAGCTCTGCCCAGCAGCTCAGGAAGAGGCTGGCAGACACAGGCCAGATTCCCAGACTTTGAGCCGCCAATTCATCTTCCTCTTCCTCTCCAACATTTCCAGATCGCCTCTAGATGGGTTTGTCCACTCCTTGCCCACCCATGAGCCCCCAGGATGACTCATCTCAGGCTGGAACCTCTTGAGGAAGGGAAGGCATGAGGTTATGTGGTGTCCAAACGACGGCACAGGGTTGGGTGGGCGCGAAGTCTTGTCTCAGTTGAGAGGCTGTGTCAGCGCCGCTGCCTGCCACTGAGCTCTGCACTGCCCGTCTCCACAAGCTTCCTGTAGGCTCTGTCTCCCCTCAGACCGGCTTTGCCACTGAGGAAGAGGGGAGTTAGTGGAAAGGGCTCAGGCTCAGAGCTGGAATACCTGTGTGTGAGCCTCAGTTTCCATACCTGCTGGAAGGGGTTGTTAATTCCTTCTCTACTATAAAAGCAAAATATCTGTGAAGGTCCTCTGCCAGCTGTTGAAAACCCTCACAGACGTTTGGCTTATTTGGAGGGAGAGGGCAGAGCTGTGGGGTAAAAGAAAGAGCACTGAACTGGGAGTCAGGAGATCTGGGACTTAACTGGGAAGCAGCCTCTATTTCCTCACCTGCTCAAAGGTGAGTAATACGCATTGCCCCTTCCACTGATAGCTATGCGAGGTGTTATGATACAGATGACTACATAGCCCTAGAGAAGAAATACATAGCCCACTAAGGATGAGACGACTATTTTGAAAAAATTAAAGAAATCTCAAATATGGGCAGAGCATGGTGGCTCATACCTATAATCCCAGCACTTTGGGAGGCTGAGGCTGGAGAATCACTTGAAACTGGTGTTCGAGACCAGCCTGGGCAACATAGCAAAACCCATCTCTACAAAAAATAAAAAGCTTAGCTGGGTGTGGTGGCATGCCTTTAGTCCTAGCTACTCGGAAGGCTGAGGCAGGAGGATAGTTTGGGCCCAGGAGTTTGAGGCTGTAGTGAGCTGTGATCATGCCACTGCATTCCAGCCTGGGTGACAAAAAAAGCTGACTTAGCCTGTCTTTAAAAAATACATTTCAGATAAGCATGGGGTAAAACAAACAAAATTGTGCAGAAGAGTTTATTATGAGAAGGAACTGTACCCAGCCCCAGACCTCTTGCTGGGGTCCACCCTTTTTCCTAAAGTTCCAAATATTCATTTATCTGACATTTACTTCAATAACTCTCAATAACATGTACACTGCTGTCTCTAAATTTAAAAACGTCAGGAATTAGGCCATTTAGAGTCTCTCCCTCTAAGTATTGATAGTTGTATTATTATTTTGTGTATTTAAATACTATACCCAAGCCTTTAGTTCTATTTGGTATTAGACAGTATCTCTCTTTTTTTTTTTTTTTTTGAGTTGGAGTCTCACTCTGTCACCCAGACTGGAGTGCAGTGGCATGGTCCCAGCCACCGCAGCCTTGAGACCTGCTGGGCTCCGGTGATCCTTCCACCTCAGCCTTCCAAGTAGCTAGAACTACAGGTGTGCACTACCACACCCAGCTAATTTTTGATTTGATTGTAGAGATGAGGTCTCTTTTTTTTGTTGTTGTTGTTTTTTTGTTTGTTTTGAGTTGGAGTCTCACTGTGTCACCCAGACTGGAGTGCAGTGGCCGCTCCCGGCCACCACAGCCTCGACCTGCTGGGCTCCGGCGATC